ACCCCTGGACCAAGCAAGGCCCTTCCCAGCTCTCCATCTGCTGGGCTGAAATCAGCCTTCCCAGCCGGGCCTTGATCGGAAGCATGCCCCCAACACCCTGGGAGCTGCCCGGTCAGGGGAGGAGGGGAGGGAATTGGTGCCAGGGCGCGTTGGCCCCACAGAGCCTGGGTGTGATGTCCGGGTGGTGCCCTGGCCAGCCCCTGCAGCCACCTGCCCTGGCCCCGTCTGAGATGCTGCTATGCTGAGGTTGGCCGGTCTTGCTTGCAGACATAGACGAGTGTGCAGACTCGGAGGCCTGCGGGGAGGCACGCTGCAAGAACCTGCCCGGCTCCTACTCCTGCCTCTGTGACAAGGGCTTTGCATACAGCTCCCAGGAGAAGGCCTGCCGAGGTACCCACGCCACGCGGTCACCCTCAGGTTCTCTCCTCCTCCTCTGACGCCCAAGCCCAGACACGGGTGCCGGTCACTGTCTGTGCCAGGGCAGTTGCTAACAACTGGGTGCTTCTGGTGAAAGAAAGTCTCTTTCTCCCTGTTTCTGTCAGCCTGGTAATGGCCTCTTCTACCACCATGCCCCCACACACGTGAGCACACACCCATGCCCCTTGTGCACACGAACATACCGTGCACATGCATATACACCGCATGTACACACATGCGTACCCTTCTCCACCTGCGTAGATGGGGCCTCTCCCCAAAGGTATGGGGAGCAGCAAGCCTCCCTCTGCTGTTCTCTTTTCAGCTGCCATGGGGGGACCCTGTTGGCTGCAGAGCCTCCAAGAGGGGCCATGCCCCCAGTGATGGGAACAGGGGCTGAGTAGGCAGACAGAGAGGGTGGGGAGGCCCAGGCTGCCTGCACTGACCTCCATCTCCCACCACAGCTGTCAGTGCCTCTGTGCTCCCGGGGACACCTCACTGCACAGCCAGGGCCTTGTTCTTCCTAGACCTGCCGTCCACACCAGCCTGGCGGCGGGAGTGGGTCTGGCCCGTTGGGAGCGTCCCCCTGGAACACCTGTAGCACTTTCGCTCCCTTCAAGAGCGAGCCTGGCAGGAGCAGGCCGAGGGTGCAATCCTGGCTTTCCAATGGGGGCCTACAAACCCCAGGCTGCACCCGTTAGAATCTGCACGTAATTCCCCGAGTGCACCTTGTGTGTGGTTTGAGCAGTTGTGGTGTGATCCTGCCCAGTACAGTGTAGAGGCCTCCCCCACTCACCGCCACTTCCCTCTGGCTGGCAGATGTGGATGAGTGTCTGCAGGGCCGCTGTGAGCAGGTCTGCGTGAACTCCCCGGGCAGCTACACCTGCCACTGTGATGGGCGCGGGGGCCTCAAGCTGTCCCAGGACATGGACACCTGTGAGGTAGGCAGCCCCTGGCCCCATGGGCCTCTCACGGTGGTTCTGGGGGCCCTCGCCGGTGGGGGCTTTCGGGAGAAACGCTTCCACGAAGACCTGGCTTTGGCTGCGGTGTTGGGGTCTCCAGGCCACGTGGAGGTTGGGATGAGAAACGCTTCTGCTCCCTGGAGGACGTTTGGTTGTATTTATAAAGTCTCTATATTTATAAAGTCTCTATGGCAACTCCCAACTCACAGTGGACCAGCCTGGTGTGGACCCGTGTGACACCCACGGGGCACGCTCCCCACTGCCGCGTGCCAGGGAGCCAGCCTGACCGACCTGTCACACCGGGGGGATGTGGTACCCACATGGGGACGCTTCCCGGCAGGGCGGCTCTCGTGTTTCCTGTTCACCCTGGGCCTGTGCCTGGGGAGTTGGCGAAAGTGAGCATTTATTTAAAAAGCAAAACCACGGGATTCCACAGGTGAAACAGCCACCAGGACAGCTTCTCAGAGTCACAGACCTGGGACGCGGCTGTGGGGCTCTTGGGTCTGGGCTGTGACGTTCGGGGCTCCCAGCCAGCCCTTGCCTTGAGGTTCTCTGCCTCACTGTCTCGTGTACTCGTGCAGAGGGCGTCGGGCCCCTGCCAGGCGTCCAGCTCACCCTGGCTGCCCACGGTGGGTGGAACAGGCAGCTCAGCCCCAGCCCCAGCCCCAGCCCCAGCCCCTGTTTCCAGGGACGCCAGCTCGGGTCCCCGCTGCCGTCCACTCTCCCCAGCGTCCCCAGAAGCACCCTGTTGTTGGTCTCCCTCCGTCTGTTCCCTAAATACAGCCCTGCCCTCCCCATTTCCCTTCATGTTTCAGTCTGGGGTTCCCTCGGCCCAGGGCCAGAGCTGGGGAGCCCCGGGACACCCCAGAAAGTCACTGTGAATGTGCGCACCCCCGATGCTGTCCCGGGTGCTGCTCCTGCCACTGGGGCTTCGCAGGGGGAGCACCTTCCTCCTCCCCCCCGCCTTGGATCTGGACATGCCCAGGCGTGTCCCTGAGAATTTCTGGCATCGTTCTTACTGCTGCTGCTGGCTGTCCAGGACACCGGACTGCGTGGATGGGACAGACAGTTGCTCAGGGAGAAACAGGCCCAGGAGCTGGAGAGTGAATCTGACCAGACAGGAGGGGCCACACGCTGTCCCCCGATTTCAAAAGGCAGCTGCTATTTGTGTCCACTTTGATGGTTCCCTTCCCTGACCACCCAGGAGTTAGTCCTGTGTGCAGATGACGTGATTCCCATCTTAACACATAAACCCATTTCGCCGTTCAGCTCCTCCTCCTCTTGCCTGGAGGACAGAGCCCCTCCCATCACTGCTCTATCCCTGACCTGGAAGACAGCAGCACCCCAGGTTTAAAGAGAGGTGAAGACACGGTCAATCCTGAGAGATGACGTCTAAAGCACCTCACATGGGTCCCTGCACCAGTCGGGCACTCCCGGCAAAGTCTGAGCTCACAGTTCCTGCCCACAGTGACAGAGGCATCCTATCCTCTCCTCCTCCTCCCCATCTTCCTCCTCCTCTTTCTTCTCCTCCTCCTCCTCCTTCTCCCCCTCCTCCTCCGCCTCCTCTTCCCCACCTCCTCTTTCTCCATGCCCCTGTCCTTGCTCTCCTCTGGTGACTAAAGGTCTTCATTTCAGGGTTGCCCCTTGTACCCCAGGGCGCTTGGCCATAAACAGTGTCTGTCCCACATAGATGTTCAAGTCTTAGGATTGTGGTGTAACCCGGTAGTGAAAATTGATTGAAACCTATAAATGCTTCTCTTTGGGGGTTTTGGTTTCAAATGCCCCTGGTGGGGTTGCTTTTTACTGCCCCGTATCCTGTGGCACCATCATTTAAATGGAACAGCACAGCGTGCACCACCGCCCCC